AGCTATGACATCATTGTTTCAATCAGGAGAATTACAATTTTTAAAGGATTTTAAATTAAATATTCTCAACTACTTGAAAGTGGTGGAGAACTACTCTGCTGAGCAAACAAATGGGGAAAAAGGAGAAAGTGACAAGTTTGAGCTCTCCACTTTTCACTTCTTAATCCATATCACACTTTCACATGCCTTCTCCTCCCAAACAATTCCTCACATGCTATTCTAGAGAAAAATTATTCCATCACTTAGAACCAAAGGTTTTGAAACTGCCCAGCAAGTGACCACCCCTCTGCCTTCATCAGCTTATCAGTGCCAGTTCTCCACCAAGCCAGCACTGCTCGTTCAGCACACAGAGCCCCAGAATTCACACATTTGCTGTTTGCTGCCATAGCTATAGCAGGAAAGTCTTTGAGTGCAAGTTAGAATCACTCAGAAGAGTGTAGTCCAGTCCTGTGTGACCAATCACGGGCAGTTCAGCCAGTAAATTACATTCATAGGCAAAAACCACTCTTCCTCCCTGTGTTGCCAACATGAAGACCCCAGGGCAGCACTCAGGCTTCCTTACCTGCAGAACAGGCATCCTTGCTTCCCTCCTCCCCACAGTTCAGCCCAGAAGAGTCTCATTTTCTAGTCTTGGCCTTGACTTTACAGACCCACCCAGTAATTCCTGCTTGCACGAGGCTTCTCACACCCTGCTGCTGCTGGTGTTCCATCACAAGCCCCAGACCAGACTCAGACCCAGCAGGGAGCCCTTGCCCAGCCGAACAGGGCCGGACAAGGTGCCTGCAGGAGGAACCTGCCTGTGCCTGCAGGAGGAACCCGGGCCCCGTCCTCTGGCACCTGGGAACAATGCAGCTCCCTGGCTGGTCAGAGCTGCTGGCAAACTGAGAGCAGCACCAGTCAGATGGGCAGGGAAGGGCTGCAGCTGACACCTGGATCTGCTTTGAAATTGTTTGTTTAATTGTCACTGGGAAATAAAACATAATTCAGACACACGCTCTGACCCGTAGCTTGGGAATAAACAGCCATGCCTCATCTCCCTTACCCCCACTTCTCTGGGTGAGGGAAGGGATGGGTTAGGTTTTCTTTGGGGGGGTTCTGTTTGTTTTTTCAACAATTTAAAAGCTGAATTAAAGACCAGTATGCAGGGCCATCTTCAGCAGATGACAAATTGTTATTCCAGGACAAGCAAAACTTGTGCAGCAAAGATCAGCTTTTGGTTTGCTTTCAGTTGGCTGGGAGGTATTCGGGTTGTTGTTAATGAACTGCAGAACATTTTCCTTTAATTACTGCATTGCACCCATAGGTTGTGGGGGCTATGGATTTGTAGGCTTGCTGCCTCATCCTATGGATGTAAATCCATGATGTATAGTGGCCATCAAGAAACAGGAACATGCCTGATTAAACCCTCACAAAACAACTGCAGGCAGCAAGACAGAGACCTCCAAAATCTGTTTCAGTGCTGCTTTTGCAACTGAAACCATGAAAAAAACCACTCCAGCTAATGTTAAAGATGAGTGTTGAAAGCATCCAGCCTGCACCTGCAGAAGTGCTTTAGCAGGAGTGCCTGGAGTGGATTTGCAGGTGCCTCTCTGCCTGACAGGAGATTAAAGATCTCCTCGGGAGCACAGGAACCGCTGGTGGGGCGTGACACTGCAGATCAAAGATGGAATTACCCCGGCTGAGGAGCTGCTCCAGTGATGAGGAGAGCAGATCTTCCTGGGGCACACCGAGTGTCAGACAGGCTTTTCCTCTGGGCTGGAGTGACAGACAGCCCCTCCCTTCCTGCCCACCTCCAGCCTCTGCCCCCGGGAAAGAGAAAGGCGTCACAGCTTCCCAGACAAGAAAATACAGAGCTTTCCCAAGCCAGCAGGTGCTGGCCGTGCTGGGTGAGAGGCTCCAGCAGGAGCTCTCGCTGTGGCTGCCCACCCCGTGGATGATTTACAGAGCCAGGTCATCCCTGCTGGATGGCTTCAAAAGCAGCAGCCACTGGGGGTCCCTGGCCCTCACACCTGGCGTGGACACCAAGGACAGCCCATCCCAGCCAGGACAGGATGGATTGTCTGCAGCCCATCCCACCCTGGAGAGGATGGATTGTCCACAGCCCATCCCAGCCAGGAGAGGATGGATTGTCCACAGCCCATCCCAGCCAGGAGAGGATGGATTGTCTGTGGCTGAGGGAGCGCAGGGGGGACAGAAGGAATCTGGAGCACAGAGCTGCTGGGGACAGGAGGGGACAGGAGGACAGCCATGGCCAGTCCCACGCTGCCCTGTGCTCAGCACCTCGCTGCCCACGCAGGCAGCCCTGACTGTCCCAGAGCAGCCCCAGCACAAGCACACCGGCAGCTCCAAGCACTGGCCGTGCTGCCAGGCCTGGTTGCTGCTTTGCTGGGAGCTTGTCCAGCTCGTTACAGTGGGACTAGAACGTCTGACTGTGGCCTTGAGCCGCGGGAGAGTTGTACCTACGTGTGTTGTTTTGAAAATCCCCAGGACAGCACTCGGAGGGTCATGTCATCCTTTCCAAGGCATCCAGCAACCCGCCGAGGCACTGGAAGAATTTGGCCAGCAAGAAGCTGTGAAGGAAAAGAACAACATGAAAACATTTTGCAAAGGGCCTTCAAGGAGAATTGGCACAATGTAGAGAGAGGAGAGAGCATGAGCAGGGACAAACTGAGGCAGAGTGGGAATGCTGTGTTGCTGGAACAGAGGCACCTGCAGTGCTGGCCTGGGAAACAGCCAGGACAGTATCACAGGGGGGTGAGGGAGGGACCAGCCCATGTCTGCAATGGAAGAGCAAATTAAAAACCAAACACCATCAAACAAAACCCAGACACATAATCCAGGTACCTAATTAAGATTAGAATTGCATAAAATCAAACCCGTTTGCTGACACTGATGCATGAACCACATCAGGGTGGTGTTCTCCACAGCTGCCTCTTCACAGAATTTCTATTGACCACTGTACCTGCCCGTGCCCCCAGGAGCACACAACCACATGATGAGCTGTGGAGCAGCTCTGCCTTCCCTCCTGGCTTGGACAAAGCCAGGTTATTCCACAGAAAGGTATGTTAGGACCTGAACTGTTGAAAAATGAGCTGAAGTTGTGCTCCACTTCTGTTACGTACACTTTGCTATGCAGATCCCGTTCACAAACACCTCCTTCACTCAGCTTTCCCCTTCCCAGCCCTCCTGAGCTCACACTCAGTCACACTTTCTTGCCAAAATACAGGTTCACTTAACAAAAAGCTCCCTTCATTCTCCCTTGTAATGAATTCCAGCTAAACCAATGTCCTAAAGTCAGACGTGGGCCAGAATTGCCAGCAGTGCAGCGAGCTCAGCCGGGGTTTGTACAACCATTGTGCTCCCCGTTGGGCTGCCCTGGGAGATCCCAGCCACATCATAATAAAATATTCCACACGTTCCTCAGCCACCTTCCGGAGGGAGAACTTTGTATCTCCTGTAATTTAATGCTCTGCCTCTCAGCAGTGAGAGCTGCAGCTTAATGACAACAGACAGCACATCCTGAGATGAAAACCCTGTTCTTAAAATATTGACAAGGTTCACGTACATTTAAAATATTTGTTTTTATTTTAATGCAGATTTTCAGACATGTGATTTTGGAAAACATTCTCAGAAGTGATTTCAGTTCCTTGCCTACCATGTCTACAAATTATGGAGACTAGTAAAAATAATTTAAAAATGTCTTTTGCCTCATGTTTAAACTCACAGAAGCACAGCATTGGAATGTGTCACCCCAGAAGCCTTGACATCAGTCTTCCAGAATAAAAAAAATTGGTGAACTGAAAGAAACAATTGGTGCTTTGCTTTTCAGACAGTAATTAAGATGGAGAAAAGGCACCGAGCAACAGCCTTGTCACCCTCTCTAGCAGCCAGGGGAGCAGAACTCAGTGTGAGCTGTGAAGATTTTCCCTGTGCTTAGGGCAGCACCTAAAAATGCCCCTCAGGATTTAGTGCAGGGCTCAGCTGAGGCGTTGTCCTTTTTTCTGAGACCCCAGGTGCCAGTCACACGAGAGGGTCAGTGTTTTTGGCCCCAGCTCCCGTGCTGAATCAAGGTGAGACCATCCCTGTTCCACTGAGGCAACCCCTGTGATAGCAAACACCGGCAGCAAATCCCACCAGCAAAGTTCTAACTGCCTTGCACAGAACACCCCATCCCTGCCAACCCTCCTGGACTCCCACAGCTCACATTTGATTTTGAACTCACCTGAACAACTTTAGAACTTTAAAGAATATATTTGAGGCTTTATCTTATCTTTAAAGCTTTGTACTGCCTTTCCATGTCCAGTCGAACTCCTCCTAGAAGGAGGCCTGCCCTAGAACGAGACGCTCTCAGCAGAAGGATGCTGTCAGTGAGTCTGAGGCTGTGACAGACCCCTCACAGCCGCTCGGGCTGCGGGGAGCCCGGGGGTCCCCCGGGAGGAGGAGGCGGTGCGGGTTTGTCCCTTTGTCCCTGCCCGGCCCCGGGACGCGCAGGTGGGGACGCGCGGCCGGTCCCGGTCCCGGGGAGGGTTTGTGCGAGGGATGCGAAACGAGTTAATTTGGCTTGGAATAGCTGCTGGCGGGGAAGGAGCTGACGTGTGGAGCCGCCTCCGGGGGATGAGCCGCCGGCGGGCCGGGAGCGCTGCGCGGAGCCGGGCCGGGTGCGCACCGGGACACGCGGCGGCGCCGCTCCCCGCGGAATTCCTGCTTTTCCCGCGGCACACCGCGCCGGGCACGGCACGCTGGGGCAGCTGTCAAATGACAACGCTTTAGGTCATGACACAGACCCGTCGCTGAGGGGAAACCCGAGAGTTTGGGGGCTGGCTCGTGGGCGGGTTTTTCTTTGAAGTTAAGAATTCTTTTTTGCTGATGGCTTAAACCCGAGCGGCTCGGCTCGGCTCGGCTCGGCTCGGCTCGGCTGGCGCTGTAAGCGCCGCGTGTTCTGCTTCCCCTGCAGGAGCCCGCCCGCCGCCGCTGGGGATGGCAGCGTAGGATCCCGCAGGATGGGGGCCCCGCGCAGGGAACGGCCCCGCTGGCTGGGGACCCTCCTGGCCGCCTGCCTGGCCACCCTGCCGGGCATCAGCGCCTGTCCCCGGCCCTGCGCCTGCCACGGCTCCGCCGAGCTCCACTGCACCTTCCGCTACTTCACCGCCGTCCCGCCGCGCATCCCGCCGGGCGCGCAGCGCATCAACCTGGGGTACGTGCAGCTGCGGCATCGGAGCGCTCAGCTTGCCTTTCAGCACTTTGCACAGCACTAGCTGACCGCCCAGACTTAGGGCTAAAAGTTAACCACAGCGATAGGTAAGTCTATCATGTTCTGCAGTGCTCAGCAGTGGCTGCAGCCACAGCCAGCAGAGCCCGAGACCACCCACAGTACGGAGAAATTTTGGGGATCTAGCACAGGACACGTGAGAACTTTAGGAAGTTTTGAACTTTCCTTTATATTACCTGAATGTGTTGTGTCTGTAGCATGGAACCTGGAAGAAGGCTGAAATAGATTTCTCTCTGGGGAAGGATAGTCCAGAAAGTGGTCTGCAAAAGGAGCACGAGTGTTAAAATCTGCAGAGACTTTGCAGGGATGTAACACCAAGGTCGGGGGTTAGATCCCCCTGTGAGCCATTCACTGAAGGGCTGGACTCAATGATCCTTCTGGGTCCCTTCTGATTCAGCCTGGTCTGTGATTCTGTCCCTTAGAATGTCCCACAGCATTAGGGTCTATGCTTTCATGTGCTGAGTTCAAGGGAAATTTCACTTGTCTGGCCCTGTCAGCCTCCATGGTGGCTCCATTCTCTGTGGTTAAAGGAGCAGGGAATTCTGTGTGGTTAACGGAGCAGGGAATAGATCATATCCAGGCTTGTCTGGCCCCTTTATGCAGTTTCCAGCAAGTGTCCTCTCTCTTAAATCAAATTGTGAGACCCATCGGCAGTATTTGTCTGATCTGTGTATCCCTTTTGATACACATAACCTTTGAACCACCCAGATGTGTCTGCAGAAAATATAGAAGGAGCTTTTAACTGAAGTGGTAGCGAAGTGAGCACAGACAGATGTGTTTTGTGCTTCATGCTTGCTGTCACTCACCCCATCCACGGGGAATTCGCCGTCAGAACTCTGTCCTGGGAAAGTGACCACCTTTTGTGCCAACGTGAAGGAATGACTTCCTTTCCTCTTGGCAAGGGAAGTGCTGCTTACCTTTAGCCATTCCCAAAGAGTGGTTCTTTTGTTTTGTGTTGGTTGGATTTAAAAGCTGTGAGTTTGGGCTGACTGAACCCATCCCGTGCAGCTACAACAGCCTGCGAAAGCTCAGCCCCACGGACTTTGCTGGCCTGGAGAAACTGGAGCTGCTGATGCTGCACAGCAATGAGATCAGCACGATCCCTGAGAAGGTGTTCAGTGATTTACGTTCACTGCAGGTAAGAACTAAATGAGCCACTGTTAATTTTGTTATGATTTAACTCAGTGATACTGAGCAGCCGCAGAGCAGCCTTCTGCAGCATTTCAGTTTCCTGTTTCTTACCTTATTCACATGAAAGTCTACAGCCTTCAAAATGCAGTACCCTAGTGGGAAATGTCTTTTACTTCCCAGGCAGGCACTCAGGCACAGGGTATAGAGCATGACAAACCATTGGTAGGTATCTCTCAGCTGTACCTTAGCAGGCAGCTGCAGTCAAAACTCTCTTTCCACAGAGCAGAAAGATTGCAAAGCTCCAATTACTGTGTCTGAAAAAGGAACGTGTCATTGTTAATTTGTTGGTCAGTTTGGGGCTTTTTGAGGATTTTTTTTCCACTGAGATTTCCCTTTCCCTTCAGTACAATCCTGTCCCTTTCTAGCCTTCATGAACAAAAGGCCAAACTGTGCAGAACCTTAACACACTGCATATAAACACTTCAGTTCTTTACAGAAACTCCAGCTACCTGGCATTCCTGGTCTGGTGAAGAGCTTTCACTGCACAGAGCAACCTTCAGCAGCATTTATTAGGGGTCCTATAACTTTAACATGGCTTAACACTATGCATTTGTCACTTTTTCATGAACAGGTCTTAAAAATGAGTTACAACAAGGTCAGAGTGCTTCAGCAGGATGTATTTTATGGCCTGAACAGCTTGGTACGGCTGCATATGGACCACAATCAAATTGAATTTGTGAATCCCAATGTTTTTTACGGACTCACCTCCTTGAGGTTGGTCCACCTGGATGGAAATTTACTGCAGCAGCTGCATCCAGACACTTTTGTCACCTTGCGCTATAGTCAAATATTCAGAATATCCTTCCTGAAGCACATCTCTCTGTCTGACAATGCGCTGACTTCCCTTCCACAAGAGATGTTTTCCTACATGTCAGAGCTCGAGAGCATTTACCTCCACGGAAACCCCTGGTCCTGCGACTGCAGCCTGCAGGGGTTTGCAGGGTGGGCACGGGAGAGACCAGGTGAGCTGAAGGCTTTGTTTATGCTCTTTAATCCTGTCGTAGCATCTTACTCTTCCTGATACAGGTAAGTGCCCTTTATTCATCTATTTATTCTTCCAGAAAAGACTGGAAGAATGATTTGTGTAGGTGTGTGCAATCAGGATAAAGAGATTAATACTACTGTGTTTCCCAGATTAAATTAATCTAGTGGCCATTCCCAAGTGCAGCTTTCCTTAATGGAGAATTTTCCTTGGCCAGTCCAAAGCTTCTGTGCACTGGGAGAATCCACAGGGAACAAGCTTACTGTTGTAGAATTGGCAAGAGCAAGAGCCACATTGCACTTGGTTCTTTAAAAAGAAATTCAGGAATTCAAGGGACTCTAGGATTTTCTCTGCTGCTGCCATTCACATGTCACTTCAAACTTTGGTTTTATTTTATTCAAAAGAACCACTTGTTAGTAGCTATATGTCATTGTTAATACTAAAACTTGTAGCACAGAAACTTACTGAAGTTTTCTTCCCTTCAGATGTTATAAAGTGTAGAAAAGAGAGAAGTTCTGGCGTCCAGCAATGCCCAATCTGTGCTAGTCCCAGAAGTCATAATGGGAAAAGTTTAGTGGATATTCCTTCTGCATCTTTCACCTGCACTAAGCCAGTCATCCATGACTCCCTGAAATCCAGAAACCTCACGGTGCCCGACGATGGGGATTTCAGTTTCGTGTCTCCCGAGGACTTGATAGCTCCAATAGGATCTGTGGTTTTGAATATGACTGACCAAGCAGGAAATCGAGGCAACTTGGTTTGCGATGTCCAGAGACCTAAAGAAACGTCTCCCATCTCACTTGACAAAAATGGCCCCAGCAGAGTGCTCAAAGCCTCCTTCTCAGCGCTGCTGGTGTGTGGCGTCGATTATGGGCACATCCAGCAGCTGTGGGGCATCCTGGCACTGTACAGCAGCTCTCCTTTGAAACTGCAGCAAACCGTGCAGACAGCTGAGGAGCCTTTCGTTAGCTACAAATACAAGCAGATCTACAGTGAGCAAGACGAGCTCTTCACCAGCATCGAGGCTGAGCTGCGAGCTGAGCCAGCCTGGCTGATGCAGAGCACGGTGGCCCTGCAGCTGGACAGGACAGCCACCACGCTCAGCACGCTGCACGTGCACTACGCCGCCGAGGCACGCGTCACTTTGCCCAGCGAGGACCACGACCAGGGGAGACACGACTGGGCCATCATTTCCAGGGACAACAGCACCCAAACGGAGCACACCGTGCTGGTCGGGGGCAGTGTGGAGCTGGGGTGCCGGGCAGCTGGGCAGCCAGCTCCTGCCGTGGAGTGGGTGCTGGCCGACGGCAGCAAAGTGCGAGCTCCTCACATCAGCGAGGACGGGAGGATCATAGTCCTGAAAAGCGGGGTGCTGACGCTGCGGACGGCTGACGTGTTTGACTCGGGGCTCTATCACTGCATCAGCACCAACCACAAGGACGCTGAGGTGCTCACGTTCCGCATCACGGTGCTGGATGCTCAGGTGCAGCACGGCGGTGTCAATGGAGCGCGGCTGTCGGCCGCCCTCGGCAGCACGCTCCACCTCCCCTGCACATCCACGGCTGCCCCGGACGCTGCCGTCACCTGGGTGCTGCCCGAGCACACAATTCTCCATCAGTCTGCTGGAAACAAACATATTTTTGCCAATGGCACCTTGAGGGTACAAGGGGTGACGCAGCGAGACGTGGGCTACTTCCGATGCGTGGCAGCCAACCGGTACGGCGCTGATCTTTTGGTTTTCCAAGTGCTGCTGAGACAGGATGAAACTGCTCTGAAGAAAAAGCACGGAGCTCTGGGAGAGTGGGAAGAAGGCTCTGGCAATGAGCTGCTGCGCTCTGCTGCAGCACAGAGCCATCCCTCAGGCATTGCAGCCACCCTGAGAGCCGGCGGGGAATCTGCTGCACCAGGCAGCGCGCGTCGGAGGAGCAGCCACGGGAAAACGCCTCACCACGCAGACAGAACAGGCAGGCGCTTCAGGGGACACAGGAGACAGTTTGTTTCCTCAGGCAGGAGAGCTGATCCACAGCGCTGGGCAGCCTTGCTGGAGAAAACAAAGAGGAACTCGACAGTGACAGGCAAACGGGGAGAAGCTGCAACAGAGCCACCCATTCAAGTCCAGAAGCTCTCAGAGGTACCTGAGGATGAGGAGGAGACCTCTGGTGATCTCGTGTCTCCAGAAGAAGAATTCATGATACCGGCAACAGAGAGATCCCCAGTGTCTGCTCTGGGAAGAGCAACAGAACTCACAATCACTGCAGGGCCCCAGGAGACAGCGAATCCCCCTCCTGCCTGCAGCACCTCCCTCCTGCTCCCAGAGCCATCAACTCCCCTACCCTCACCTCTTCCACACTCCGCGGCACCTGCCAGCAACAGGCCACAAACCCTTCCAAAACCTACAGACTCATGGGAAAGATCTGATTTGAGTCAAATATCAGCAAATGGTGTAAAACAGCCAACTGTACCAAGTGGAACAGCCACACTCTTCCCTGCTGGGCAAAAGTCAATATATTCTGGGAAAAGCTATAACCAGCATCTAAAGTCTGCATCCACGACACCCACGACAGAAACTACAGGCACCAGCAAGGCTGTAACTCCCCAAAACACAGCAGACAAGTTACATATTTTTACTGAGTCTATTGATAATGTCTCCACCGAAACAGATCACCAGGCAACAGTCGATGCACCAAGCTCTGAATTTGGCCCCATTTATTTTCATAGTACTCAGAAAGGAGGAACCCCTAATCCACCACTGGCCTCAACTTTCGCTACTCGTCAGCAAATTCAGGTGATCCAAGACATTCCAACCCATCCACCCCAGCTCCAGCAGCACTACGGAAGACGAAGGAAGATTTCTGGTTGGAGACGAATTGTTAGACCAGGATACATCCCAGGTGTGAAAGAGCACCGATACAACTTTGGGAGGCCAGGGTCTGCCAGAGGAAGTACAGCTGTGGCTACAGGTGTTCACCTGAATATGAACTATGTACCAAATGTACCAACCTTAAACAACTTGAGCATTTCCATCAATCCATTAAGTCCAGAAACACCCCAGTCTTCCCCCTCCACCATGGAAATGCCATTGGAGCACCCCGTGGGTACCTATCAAAACACAGCATTCCTCAGGGAAGAGGAAAAGAAACACAGGGCAAGGCAAAAAGCTGCTACCACAGTCATGTCTGCCACTGCAGAGGACACTGCCACTACTGCAACCAGGGCATTGGGTGTGATGGGTTTGAAGCCCACACTTGTTACTACCCCTCAAACCAACACCAGAGTCACCAAAAGTAAAATACTCAGGGTGGGAGGAAGGAGAGGTCAGAGGAGGAAGAGGCCTCCTAAAACACCTGCCCCACAGCATGTGGCTGCAGCCCAGAGCACTGCAGCCACCCCTGCAGCCCAGAGCACTGCAGCCACCCCTGCAGTGAGCACAGCCACCCCTGCAGCCCAGAGCACAGCCGCCCCTGCAGTGAGCACAGCCACCCCTGCAGCCCAGAGCACTGCAGCCACCCCTGCAGTGAGCACAGCCACCCCCACAGTGACAGCTCCTACATCACCAGCTGTGCCCCTAAGCCTTGCACCTGCAAAACCTCTCCCTGGGAGCATCAGTGAAGCCTCCAGGACAAAACCACCAGCACTGGGGGTCCCTGAGAGCTCTGAGGCCCCCCAGCACAGGCCCACAGCAGCCACACAGACAGCAGCAAGCCCGGGCACCTGGAGGAGCACCCCGTCAGCAACGCCCCTGCCTGGCAGTGCGACTGCTCAGAGTCCCCCCGTGGCACTCCAAACCACACCAGGCTCGCAGAGGAGCACCCAGCTGGCCGTGTCACCAGCTGCCAGTCCTGCCCAGAGCCCCACCACGGGTCTCCAAACCTCAGCGTGGCTGGACGAGCCCCCTGGTGCCACGAGTGCCCGACCTGCTGCAGTGGGTGCCACGCCGGGGCCAGCTCCTGCCCAGCCCAGCAGAGCCACGGCCAGGGCAGGAGAAAAGCCCTGCCCGGGGCTGGGGGAGGCGGCTGCCCAGGAGCAGCAGGCAGCAGAGCCCAGACCCCCAGCGGGCGCCGTGCCCAGCGCTGTCCCTGCTGCCGGCACACAGCAGCCCTGCCCTCTGCCAGCCCCGACCGCAGCCCCCCCGAGAGCCTCCTGGCCCCCGCGGGGGCACGGCCAGCCCCAGCCCGGGCCGCCCCCCAGGGGCACGGAGCGGGGGAACGCGCTGCAGGCACCGGGCATCGCATCTCCGTGGGGAGGGGACAAGGACAGCCCTGCCACTGCCCGCTCTGAAAGGCGACGAAACCAGGGCACCAGCACCCTGCCCAGCCCCAGCACCTTCGGTTCTGTGAGCACAAGCCGTTTCTCAAAGCCCAGAATAGTCGGAGGGAATTTGGCTTCTTTCACTCTGCTGGCGAATTCTGATGCTTTTATTCCTTGTGAAGCTACTGGGAACCCCCCTCCAACAATCCAGTGGACCAAGATATCATCAGGTGAGCTTGGTAAACCTCTCTAGAATTTACCTTCCATTAGTCCTGTAATTTGGCACCTCTTCTGTGTGCCAACTCAAGCATTGCTTCATTTCAGAGTACTGTGAAATATTAGTGAAAGGTAAACTTGGAAACAGTGACAGACTCACTGGAGCATCTTAGTGCTGATTCTGGAACAGCTCTTTAGTGAAATGATTTTAAAAATCAAATCTATGTTTAATTATAAGTCATTGCTTATTGTGGGAAGAATTCAGTATTCATTGTAGATTACCTGCTATTCCAGGTCAGTGAGACAAGTGAAAAAAAAAAAAAAAAAAAAAAAGTGGTAAAACCACTCAAATTGAGTTACAGCTGTGCCAGCTTTGGATTGCAAAGCCCCACGTGCTTTATTCAAACTTTGTCTCTGCTGGAGATTCAGCTTCATTCTTACTTTAAATTTCTTACTCACTTTGTCATTCTATATGCAGAATTCTCTGATTTCTTTCTGGTTTATCATATTGTCTTGGTTATTTGGGCAGAGCAGAGCAGGCCAGGGTACTTGGGACTGAGGAAAATGCAACAAGAGGCAGGCAGTCCCAGTCAGTCCCAGGCTGTCCAAGGCAGTCCCAGACAGTCCCAGGCTGTCCCAGGCTATCCCAGTCAGTCCCAGTCAGTCCCAGTCTCTCCCAGTCGGTCCCAGGCAGTCCCAGGCTGTCCCAGGCTATCCCAGTCAGTCCCAGTCAGTCCCAGTCTCTCCCAGTCGGTCCCAGGCAGTCCCAGGCTATCCCAGGCTGTCCCAGTCAGTCCCAGTCTCTCCCAGGCTACCCCAGTCAGTCCCAGGCAGTCCCAGGCTATCCCAGGCTGTCCCAGTCAGTCCCAGTCTCTCCCAGGCTACCCCAGTCAGTCCCAGGCAGTCCCAGGCTATCCCAGGCAGTCCCAGTCAGTCCCAGTCTGTCCCAGGCTGTCCCAGTCTCTCCCAGTCAGTCCCAGTCAGTCCCAGGCAGTCCCAGGCTCTCCCAGTCGGTGACAGCTCCGTGCCTTGTTCCGCAGGGCGCGGTGCCGCGGGCCGTGGCCGCTGGTCGGTGCTGCCCAACGGGACGCTGGCCATCGCCCGGGCGGGCCCGCAGGACGGCGGGCACTACGTGTGCACGGCGGCCAACGCGCACGGCTCGGCTCGGCTGCAGGTGTCGCTGGCCGTGCTGGCGCACCCGCCCCGCATCGCGGGCGGCCGCGGCCGCCTGCTGACCGCGCACTCGGGGGGCTCCGCGGCGCTGCCCTGCCGGGCCCGGGGCAGCCCCCCGCCCCGCATCTCCTGGCTGCTGGCCAACGGCACCGAGCTGCGGCACGGCGCGGCGGGCGGCGGCAGGGCGAGCGTGGAGCCCGACGGCACGCTGCTGCTGCGGGAGCTCACCGTGTACGACCGGGGCCTCTACACCTGCCGGGCCAGCAGCCCCGCGGGCACCGACACGCTGCCGCTCAGGCTGCAGGTGGTCGCGGCCCCTCCCAGCATCCTGGAGGAGAAGAGGCAGAGCGTGGCGGGGGCGGCGGGGCAGAGCCTGAGCCTGCCGTGCACGGCGCAGGGGAAGCCCGAGCCCGCCGTGCGCTGGGTGCTGCCCTCGGGCGCGGCGCTGCGGCCGCTGCAGCTGCTGCACGGCCGGCTGCTGCTGCTGGCCAACGGCACGCTGCTGCTGGGCAGCGCGGCCCCCTCCGACAGCGGCACCTACGAGTGCATCGCCACCAGCTCCACGGGCTCCGACAGGAGGGTGGTCAGCCTCGCGGTGCAGCGCACGGAGACGCTCCCGAAAATTGCCATCGCCTCTCAGGAGCTGACTCGGCTGAACTTTGGGGAGAGGCTGCTTCTGAACTGTACAGCAAGTGGAGAGCCCAAGCCCAGGATAATCTGGAGGTTGCCCTCCAAGGCTGTTGTGGACCAGTGGCACAGGTATGACCTTTTTTTTCCTCCTCCTCTTTGGAGCCTCAAACACTATCTGCTCTGGTGCTCACACAGTGCTATTACAGCACTAAAACAATGTGAACTAAACCAAATTTTAAGTATTTAACAGTTGTGAAACATCTGTTCTAACAGCATCTATATCTAATAACAGACCTATTAACAGATCACATCAATTGCCACAAGTGGGTGAGGTCTCAAAACAGGTACAAGTCATATTTGAATTAAGGTAATTACTGTCACCATGCACTGGCTGACTGCTGTCAGTTTAGAGGAGGGGAAGTTATTTGTAACAGATTTGTGAAGCAGGGCTCGAGAGGGAGGGGTTTCTTTAATCTCTGCCACATCTACCTTTGGAGATGTCCCCAGACCCCCTCCCACAGTAACACTCACCTCCACCTTAGGAGAGACAGCCCCAGCTCAGGGTGTTCCCAGCAGAGCCAGCACCTCTCACATCCACACAACACCAAAAGTGGCAGTGGCATCAGGGCAGGGCACGCTGGGTGGGCAGGAGGCACGGGCACAGTGCCTTTGGAAAGGCCTGCTGTGTTGTACCGTGCTGCTAACACGTTCAGTCCCTTCCAGTGCTCAGTGTTCGCTCCCAGCACTTGTTTCCATAATTTCCTTTCTCTCTCTCCCAACAGAATGGGAAGTCGGATCCATGTCTATCCCAACGGGTCACCCCCAGCACTTGTTTCCATAATTCTTTTCCTCTCTCTCTCTCTCCCAACAGAATGGGAAGTCGGATCCATGTCTATCCCAACGGGTCCTTGGCTATTGAGGCAGTTACTGAAAAGGATGCAGGTGATTACCTGTGCGTCGCAAGAAACAGAATTGGGGATGATCTGATTCTGATGAAAGTCAGCATCACAATGAAACCAGCCAAGATTGACCACAAACAGCAGTTCAAGAAACTGGTGCCCTATGGGAAGGATTTCAGAGTGGACTGCAAGGCCTCAGGGTCACCCAGACCAGAAATATCCTGGGGCCTGCCAGACGGGACGGTGGTGAACAACGCGATGCTGGCGGATGACAGCGGGCGCCGGGCTCGCAGGTACGTCCTCTTCGACAACGGCACTCTGCACCTCAACAAAGCTGGGGTGGCAGAAGGAGGAGACTACACGTGCTATGCCCAAAACACTCTGGGGAGGGACGAGATGAAGATCCACGTCACGGTCATCGTGGCAGCCCCTCAAATAAAGCACAATTACAAGACACACGTTAGAGTGACAGCTGGAGACACAGCCCTGCTGGACTGCGAGGCTGCTGGAGAGCCCAGGGCACAGATCTTCTGGTTGCTGCCCTCCAGTGAGATGATCTCCTCGTCCACAGACAGGCACTCCCTGCACGCCAACGGCTCGCTCTCCGTCAGCCAGGCCAGCCTGCTGGATGCTGGGGAGTACCTGTGTGTGGCTCGGAACCCTGGCGGGGACGACAGCAAACTGTACAAGCTGGATGTGGCTGCCAAACCCCCCATCATAAATGGTTTATACAGGAACAAAACGATCATGAAGGTGACTGCAGTGAGGCACTCCAAGAAACACATTGACTGCCGGGCAGAAGGGATACCTCCTCCTCAGATTATGTGGATCATGCCTGATAACATTTTCCTAACAGCCCCATATTATGGGAGCAGGATTGTGGTGCACAAAAACGGGACGCTTGAGATTCGGAACATCAGGCCCTCAGACACGGCGGATTTTATCTGTGTGGCACGTAACGATGGGGGAGAGACCGTGCTGGTGGTGCAGCTGGAAGTCACAGAAATGCTACGGAGACCAATGTTCAAAAACCCTTTCAATGAAAAAATCATAGCAAAACCTGGGAAAACGATCACACTGAACTGTTCTGTGGATGGAAACCCTCCCCCGGCCATAAGCTGGATGCTGCCCAATGGCACGTGGTTTTCCAGCAGCATCAGGACATCCCAGTTTTCCACAGGAAGCAACGGCACCCTGACCATCTACAGTCCCGAGGCACAGCACGCCGGGCGCTACCGCTGTGCTGCCCGCAACCAGGTTGGCTATATCGAAAAGCTGATGCTCCTGGAGGTTGCCCAGAAGCCCAAGATCCTCACCCGGCCTGCAGGGCTGGTGAAGGGGGTCAGCGGGGAGCCTTTGTCTCTTCACTGCCTGGCCGAGGGCAGCCCCAAGCCCAGGCTGGCGTGGACGCTGCCGGGGGGCCGCGTGCTGGAGCGGCCGCAGCTCGCCGGGAGGCACGCGCTGCTGGAGAACGGCACCTTGCTCATCCGGGCAGCCGCGGCCCACGACGCAGGGAACTACCTGTGCAGGGCCCACAACGATGCTGGAGACTCCTCCCTCACCGTTCCTGTCGTGGTCACAGCCTACGCCCCACGGATCATGGGCAGGCCCCCCGCAGCCGTCCGCGCCGTGCCAGGGGCAGCAGTGCAGCTCCTCTGCGTCGCGCTGGGCGTCCCCAAACCAGAAATTACCTGGGAGTTACCTGACCGCTCCATACTCTCTACAGCTCGCCAGGGCCGGGGCTCTGGGGGAGAGCTGCTCCACCCCACGGGCACTCTGCTCCTGCAGAACCCCCGACCCTCCAGTTCTGGCACGTACAAGTGCACAGCGAGGAACCCCCTTGGCACTGACACCGCAGTCACCTACGTCCACGTCATCTGAGCCAGAAACACGGCAGGAATGGTGGGGAACACAGGCTGCAGCCGGGCTGGGCTCACCCTGCAATGGCTTTAATCAAAGGCAGCCACAAGCCCGTGAGTGCCTGGACACATCACAGCGTTCAGTCTGCAGTCACTGGGCAAAAGGAGAGAGGAAAGGGAAAATTAGCTCTAGCGTTATTAGCTAGCATTGGTTCTCTCCATGTTCAGGGGATTTAAAGGAAAGCAAAATTAAGGCATTTAAGTGCCCAAGCCACATCAGGAACAAACCTCACAGTGCCTGAGCCGCATCAGGAACAAACCCCACAGTGCCTGAGCCACGGCAGAAACAAACCCCACAGTTTGTTACCTGAGCCATGGCAGGAACAAACCCCACAGTGCCCAAGCCATGTCAGGAACAAACCCCACAGTGCCCAAGCCACAGCAGGAGCAAACCCCACAGTTTGTTACCTGAGCCACGGCAGGAACAAACCCCACAGTGCCTGACCCACATCAGGAACAAACCCCACAGTGCCCAAGCCACAGCAGGAGCAAACCCCACAGTTTGTTACCTGAGCCACGGCAGGAACAAACCCCACAGTGCCCGGCTGTACCACCCTGGCATGGGGGCCAGCAGCTGGGGAGGGCAGCGAGGGCAGGAGGGTGTCCTGCACAGCAAGGACACAGGCAGCACCTGAGAACTCTCAGAACACCTGCTCTCTTCCCACCAGGGGTGTTCAGCCTGCAGAAGAGAAGGCTGCAGGGAGGCCCCACTGCAGCTGTGGCACCGAGCACGGCGGGATTGGCACCCCAAACTCAGCACCCACCATCCACCTCTGGTCTCTCAGCTTTACAGATCTGCCTCCTAAATCCCCAGCTGTTTTTCTCATTTGACCCAGTGAAAATGCACATGCTTCTAATGCTTTTAATGAAGTGATTCTTTGGAAATCTGATGTGCTGAATAAAACTGGAGTAATCCTGCACCCTAATAACTCTGTGGGCGCTACAGAAACCGCCCAAGCTTTGCTCAGCAGAACCTGGTGCTTACTGAAGGCAGTTTCAGTGTTTTACAAGACTTCAGCATCTTTTTCCTTTCTGAAACCAAATCCTTCACTTTAAACGTGTTGTGTAATCTCCTGGCTACCAGGCTGTAGTAACTGCTGAGGTTAGTCAAAGGCACTAACCAGCACATGGAGGTTTTTTGGGACATAAACCCAACCCACAGCACCTTCTGCTGTGCAGGGCTGGCAGAGGAGTCTGCACCAGGCAGGTGCCCATTGCAGCAACACTCTCCCATCAGTTTGAGAACTGTATAAGAACTATTTAAAAAAACCCTCAAAAATGGATTAAAATTATATAAGATTAATGCTTTTTAACTCAAAAGCTGCAATTTCAGCATGACTGTATTTTCTCTACTTTTCTATAGCAAACTTTCCTAGTTATCCTCACCTACCTTAAATATGTTTGGAAAAACTGTGGAAATAAAGGAAACAAGCATAATGAGATTAAAAAAGGATTTGGCAGTGACAATTGTTGGGTAAAATCATTCCCTAATCCAGCAAAGGCTCCAATCCAGCAGAAAGTTATGTCTCAAAATTCAGTTTGTTCAGCTGTCTTCATGCAACTCTGGTTTATTACTAACAATTTAATTTAAAAGGATCTTCAAACAGTAAACCCCGTTTTCCCCCCAGCCTGTTAGAAGTTCAGCCTAAAAATCAAGCGTGCCAAGTCAGGAACAGTGCTCCACCGGGTTGGAGGTGCCAGGCAGCAGGGATGCTCCTCAAGGACAGCACAGGGACAGGGAGCGGTGCCAGCCACGGGCACCTCGCATGATCAGGGGCTTCACAGGGGACAAAGCCCACTCTGTCCCTCCCCTCAGCTCTCCCCGTGTGTTTCCCGTGTGACTGGAATGCTGCACGGCCGCACTTGCCCACTTCTTGTCCCAAACAAGCCCAGGGACGGGCAGGAGCTGGGAGCAGCAGTGATCCTTCCCCGCAGCTGCCCAGCTCCCCACAGAACCAAACCCAAGCCTTCCAAGAAAGCCTTTGCCACTCTAGACAGGATATCTTTACAGAGATGTATAAATCAAGGTTTATGTGATTTTGACAACCCACTGCAAGCAGCAACGTCACAGTTTAGGCTGCCAGGGGGGTAAGGATTGGAGAGCCCTCCCTGAGTACCTGCTGCAGATCCACGGGTCCCCCCTCTGACCCGCCCCAGCAGCACCAGCAGTGACTGCCCCTGCAGGAAATACAGAAAACAGGGGCAGGGGCAGTGCCTCTTCAAACGTACATCTGGCTTTGCCTTACCAGCGAGGGCTTTCAACAGAGCAGCAGATTCCCTGGCACAGGAGCACTTGTAAATCAGAAGGAAAAAAGCTCACAGACCGTGGGCTGCTCTGTGTTCTGTGTCACATAAAGCATCTCACTGCTACTGCTGAACAAAAGCTGCAGGTCGCATCAAAAGCATGGCCTGAATATCTCAGTATGGCAAGCCAATTTTGTGATATGGCAACAGTTTATGCACCCTCTGCAACTTGATAACAACCGTGTATCTCTCTGTCAGACTTCAAAGATCATCTTACACATTTGTTTTCAAAAGCAGCATTTCCTTAAACTTTTTAGCCACTCCGTAGTATATTCTGAAGAATTTACACAGTTATAATACAGGTTAGTTGTAATTGGAGCTTCAGAAATAAATATTTAATATTTATAACTGGAACCAAACTTTTAAACTTCTGCTTCTCACATCGTCACCAAGTGCTGCCCTCTGGAGCCAGTAAATCGCTGCAAAACTCTAATTCACTAACTAGAAGAAACAAGACAATCCCACACAAAACAAAGCACATATCCGAAATGCTGATAAAATGTGAGCCTGTGGATTTATTACATCTAGAAGATGGCAAATTATGCACCATGGCTCTCGGTATGAATCACAGAGGAAATAACCCAAAGGGCCTCTGTTCCTTTAGGTGTCCCTTTCTCCCTTCACTCATCACAGAACCCCACCAGCTCTGACACTGCCACCACAGGAGCTTGTTCTGGCTTATGTGCCCACAAAGCCCAGCACCTTGGCAGAGCCAGAGCTACAACTGAGAGCAGAAAAGCCCCTTGAGACCCCACGGCTGACAAGGAATCAGCCAAACGGGGAGAGAAACAGCACAGGGTCACAAGCCCGCAGGCTGTGCCCCCAGCAGGGGCCAGGGGCTGGCTGTGCAGGAAGAAGCAGGGCTGAGGAGGGTCCCCCGGGCTGTACCCCTGGCCTGTACCCCCACAGGGCCAGGGGCTGTGTGAGCGGGCTGTACCCCCAGGGGTACCCCCAGGGGTACCCCCACAGGGCCAGGGGCTGTGTGAGCCAGCAGGGATGGCAGCGAGGAGCAGGGGAGGCACTCTGTGAGCTGGCCTCTGCACAGTCCCAAAATACACAGCAGAAGGAAATGTTAATTCATACCTTGCTAACTCATAAGTAATGCCCATTTTCCTGCTGAATTATGGAAAGACAGAGACAGTTCCTTTGTTGTTGGCAATGATGTGAACTCCCCGTGAGGGCTGGTAATTCCCACTGACAGCTCCAGCACATCCCAGCCCCAAGAGCAGGCACCTTCTCCAGGCCATGGGCAGGGGGAGCACCAGGACAGCTCCAAGTATCAGGATATTAATAACATGAAGAACTCCACTGAAACACCAAAAAGGCCAGAAAATCACCTTAAAATTACAGCTACTTAAGCCACAGCACATGGACAATCCAGCTGGATGCTCAGGGAACAGCAGCACACCCAGGGACAATCCAGGGGGATGCTGAGGGAACAGCAGCACACCAGGGACAATCCAAGCTGCTCAGGGAACAGCAGCACACCAGGGACAATCAGCTGGATGCTGAGGGAACAGCAGGCACACCAGGGACAATCAGCTGAGCACAGCCACACCAGGGCTGGCCACGCTGGTGCCAGGATTGTTTCCAGCTCTTGCTCTGTCTGCTCAGCTCAGGAGCCCACAGCCCCAGCCCCCACAGAAGGGAAAGTGTCTCAGACACCGACCAAGCTGCACAGCAGCACAGTTTAGCTGTGTGAGCCTTTTCCCAACTGGAAAAGCCCACTTGAATGGGACCTGGGTCTAAACCAACATGTTTGGTGCCAACACAACACGACCAGGAAGCCTTTCAGAGACTGGCACTTGCAGTATCAGCTACACCTTACCCCAAACAAGAGGGGCACACACAGACCTGAGTCAGAGTCAGGGGGGCTGCCAGGCCCTGGCGATGCTCTCTTGTCCCCCAGCTCCTTCTGGGAGCACACGCACCCATCAGCCAGACAGAAACGGGGACAGGGCACACCACCACCCTGCTTTCACTATTAGAAAACATCCACTTTCTGCATGAATCATTTCCTTGTGCTTTTACTAAATTTAAGCAAGTGGCTTTGCAAGGTTTTTGGGTTTTTCTCTTTGTTTGAAGAACGTAAGTTTTCTTTTAATCTCTTCTTTAAATGCAACATAGGAAGTACATAATGCAAGTTTAGTGTCCCAAACATGAATAAAAGTAACAAAGTGTCTTGCAGGGTTCCCAAATTTAACAGAATATGAAGAAAGTCCTAGAAATCTCTTCCCACACCCACATTCCTGTATTTTTATTTTCTTCTATTTCTTGTTATGGCCAGGAATGTTTCAGTCTTTCCTCTTTTTCCAAGAGGCCTTCCCAGACACTAGGAATGACAGTATGAAAACATCAGCACAGAAAGCAATTCAAAGAAAATGCTGAAAATGACATACATGACACTTTTAATTTCTTCACTGAATGCATGTAAGCCCTTTAGTTGTGTTCAGGCCCTCCTTGGGAGGCGTTTGACAGGTCTGAGGTGAACATCTCACTGATGAGGACCCCCAGCATATCCAGCAGGGTGGTGAACAATTCCCTGGGAGCAGAGACAAGTGTTACCCTGGGGAGCTGTGGCTGCCAGGAGGCCCAGAGATCTGATTCATGGCAGAGGCCCCAAAGGCAGCTCATGAGCACAGACTGCCAACGGAGCCA